TAGTGAAAGGAGTGAACGGGTGCCGAGAGCTCAGTCGCTGCTCGGCCGTGTGCTTGTGTCGTGTTCTAATCGATTTGGGGTTCGATGGGTTCATATTGAATCGGATCCCCTTCATGGGGCGCCCTGCTTTCCCTTTTACAGGCCAAGGGAATGCACACAACGGAGGAAAAGAGAAGAACGAGAGAGAGGAAGTCCTTCAGGATCGCTGGGTCCTTCTTATCCTTCATGCGGGTCCCGCCGACCCTGTAGATGTCAACAGGGACAGCTCTACGTCGCGGCCCTGTCCGCCACTAGCGCCTTGCACAGGCGTCATCTGCCGGTCATGACGTTCCATTCCATCACAGCGGACGTCATGGTGATGCTGACGCGCCTGTCCGCGTTCGTACGGTGTCGACAAAAGATGCTCAGCAGTCCACCGAGGGGCATCCCACGATGGTAAATTTGTCGGTGGGGGTGCGCGTAATCAGAAACCGGATGGTGACACAAGGCGCAGCAGAGACAACGATTTAAACAGGTTCGGGCCGTCTGATCGACGTAATACCCTACGTCATGTGTCTTTGGTGTATTGTATTGAATATGAGATGTATCGATCTGGATCGTGTCCGCTAGGGGACCCCTGCCTCTCCTTATATAGTCTGGAGGGGCAGGGTTACAAGTAAACTAGCCTATTTGTCTTGAGGATACCGAGAGTCATACCCCCCGCCTAGTCTCCGAGCCTGACAGTAGGTGACGTAGTCACGTGGTGCCAGGGTCAGAAAGTAGAAGACCAACCGAGCAGGCAGCCAGTCTCCGGGCGTAGCCTCGAAAAGCATATTCACCGCAAGGTGAAGTGTGCCCACTTAATCCCCGAGCCTGTTGGAAGATGAAGAATGAATCTTGTAGCAGGGTCAAAGAAAAAGAAGTCTGAAAGCTTGCCGACGTCGTCTGACATGCGCGTATCAAGACCCAGACGTCTTTGCCTAAGATCAAGACTCGATCCAACAAACATGGAGCAACTTGATAGCACACCGATGAGACGAGCAAGATCCGACCACCAAGGGCGATGTCCGAAGGCCGAGGAGTCCCGGCGTGGCGGCGATGTCCGAGCACCGAGGAGTCCCCAACGTAGGCGGCGATGTCCGAGCACCGAGGAGTCCCCAACGTAGGCGGCGATGTCCGAGCACCGAGGAGTCCCCGACGTAGCTGGCGATGTCCAAGCGCCGAGGAGTCCCCGGCGTAGCCAGCGATGTCCGAGCACCGAGGAGCGAGGAGTTCCCGGCGTCGTTGGCGATGTACGAGCACTGAGGAGCGAGGAGTTCCCGACGTCGCTGGCGATGACCGAGCACCAAGGAGCGAGGAGTTCCCAACGTCGCTGGCGATGACCGAGCACCGAGGACCGAGGAGTCCCCGGCGTCGCTGGCGATAACCGAGCACCGAGGAGCGAGGAGTCCCCGGCGTCGCTGGCGATAACCGAGCACCGAGGAACGACGAGTCCCCGGCGTCGTTGGCGCTGTCCGAGCACCGAGGAGCGAGAAGTCCCTAGCGTCGCTGGCGATGTCCGAGCACCGATGAACAAGGAGTTCCCGACGTCGCTGGCGACGTCCGAGCACCGAGGAGCGACGAGTCCCCGACGCCGCTGGCGATGTCCGAGTACCGAGGAGTTCTTGGCGCCGCTGGCGATATCCGAGCACGGAGGAGCGAGGAGTCCCCGGCGCCGCTGGCGATGACCGAGCACCGAGGAGTCCCCGGCGTCGGTGGCGATGTCCGAGCACCGAGGAGTCCCCGGCGTAGCTGGCGATGTCCGAGCACCGAGGAGTTCCCGGCGTAGCTGGCGATGCCCGAGCACCGAGGAGTCCCCGGCGTAGGCGATGTACGAGCACCGAGGAGTCCGCGGCGTGGTGGCGACGTCGCGTCGCGGTGAAGTGTGCCACTTAGTCCTCGAGCACGAAGAATCGAAGCGCCGAGAGTAATTCAAAGATAGTGGCGGCGAAGCACGAGCGATGAACGATCGGTCAATCAATTGGTCGACGCGAAGTGAGCGTTGAGTAGAAACGACCGGTGAGTCAGTCCGATCAACTGGTCGACGATGAAGTCCATGAACCTAGCGGTTCGACCAGTTGATCGGTGGAGAAGTCCGAGCACCAGGTGATCCGATCACCTGGACTCTGATCCTGCAAAACAAATATGTAGAATTGTTAGTACATGATGTAAAAATATATGAACTCCGGAGAAAAAATAACGTATGTAGTTTGGCGATCAGTTGGAGCGAAGATGTATTTATATTTAATATAAACCGCCCGACCAGTTAGTGTGTAGTTGAGTCTCCAGCCGTAGCTAGCCCATAGTCCATAACGTTGAGCGCGGAGCCCGTGCACATGTAGGAGGAACAGGCATCGCTAAGGAGCCGCTGCCGACCACCCATAACGCAGAGGGCAGACGCTCGTGCACGTGTAGGGAGGAGCCGGAGACAGGGCCGTCTCTGGAGGCGTCCGAGCATCAACGTGACTGTTCGGGGGTTCGAAAAATCGTTTGGAGAGCAAATATAGAGAAAACAGCTCGGAGAAACATTATGGTGATATATGGAGATTGGAGAATATTTAGAAGAATATTAAAGCGTGACTTAGCTTTAGACGAAGCGTCTAGTCGGCGGCGTATGGCGTTATCTGGTCAGCGACGCGGACAGCTCGCTTAGCGGCTCGCTTGACGGCTGGAACGGAGTTGATCTCTTGTTGGAGTAGGACGGACGTAGTCGAAGCTTGGCGGTGTCGGTCCGCGTACGAAGACGTGTAGTCGATCTGCTTCATACATGGAGGTATAACACGCGGCCTTCCTTCTCCATACATGGATGCATGTGTACAGGCAAGTCTTGGTATCTTGCATGGCGGTGTAGATGCAAGGAAGCCTGTACGTGATGTATGTATATGCAAGTTGATCTGTCGCATCTTGGTTTGGCTTGCATGTCTTCTCGTATGTACGTGAGGCAAGTACAGATTGATTGGCTTGGCTTGCATGTCCAATTGACTCCGTTGAAGCTTGCATGTACAAGTAGATGGATTTCTTCCGGCTTTGCATCTAGAGGTCGGAGTCGAACTCGGTGGAGCGGAAACAGCAGAGGCTCGTGAGCACAGGTCGGAGTCGAACTTGGCTCCACGCGGGCTTGTTCCGGATGCTGAGTTGCCCCTGGATGATGTTGATCTTGAGGTACGCCATCTGGTTCGCCATGGATCAAGCGCACAGCCCCTACCTGGCGCGCCAACTGTCGACAAAAGATGCTCGACAGTCCACCGAGGGGCATCCCGCGATGGTAAATTTGTCGGTGGAGGTGCGCGTAATCAGGAACCGGATAGTGACACAAGGTGCAGAGACAGCGATTTAGACAGGTTCGGGCCGTCTGATCGACGTAATACCCTACGTCCTGTGTCTTTGGTGTATTGTATTGAATATGAGATGTATCGATCTGGATCGTGTCCGCTAGGGGACCCCTGCCTCTCCTTATATAGTCTGGAGGGGCAGGGTTACAAGTAAACTAGCATATTTGGTACTATACAATATCTTGCGGTGCACGCCGAGCAACGCCGTGCACGCCTTGATCTTGTGGGCCGGGCCACTTCTGATGGTGCGGCCCATGTCTTGTCTTGAGGATACCGAGAGCCATACCCCCACATATGGGGGTTAGGCATAACAGCACTAGTACGCCCGACGCTGTTCTTGATGTGAATCCTCAGGTATGGCCCGTCATAGCCACGGGTTACATCGGGGCGTGCCGATCTCTTCCTGGGTGTCGGAGTTTTGACCCAGGCTCACACGCTTGGACCTGGAGTGGTTGGCGGTGACATAGGTCCCCGTCGGGCGAGACGGAGCCCGCGGCCTTGGGGTCGAGCGAGGCGGAGCTCGTGGCCTCGGGGTCAGGCGAGGCAGAGCCCAAGGCCTTGGGGTCGAGCGAGGCGGAGCCCGCCCCCAGAGGTCGGTCGAGGCGGAGCCCGCGTCCTCGGGGTCGGGCAATGCAGAGCCCGCGGCCAGAGGTCAGGCGAGGCGGAGCCCGCGGCCTCGGGGTCAGGCGAGGCGGAGCTCGCAGCCTCGTGCTCGGGCGAGGCGGAGCCCGCGGCCTCAGGGTCGGCTGATGCAGAGACTGCCCCCAGAGGTCGGGCGAGGCGGAGCCCGCGGCCTTGGGGTTGGGCGAGGCAGAGCCCGCCCCCACAGGTCGGGCGAGTCGGAGCCTGCGCGCCGGGGGTCGGTTGGAGCTGTAGTCGCGCTCTTGACTGCTCAGATGAATCAATGTTGATGGTCATTAGCTTCTCTTCGGGTACCCTAGTATTGGTCCCTGACACAAGGATTTTCCGCTACTCTGCCTGCACACTCCATTTCAGCCTCCTACACCTAGCAGGAACAGCAGGTGAGACTGACCAGCTACAGAAACAGCTACACATCATTGGCATCAGCATGAAGAGCACTTCAGGCTTGATGTCTTCTTCGGCCATGGCTTATAGTAAGGTAATCTGTGAACAGGGAGCTACAGCTCTGACTTCTTGTGAGGGAGTGTCAGAATAAACCTTGTATTAGTTCAGTCAGTGTGAGTCTGCTGGTTTGCTTTCGTTGTTGTCAATTGTCACTTAATTGAGTTGAGGTTTAGATTATGTTAGGAGTCAGAGGAGTTAGCCATGCACTAGGTTGTTTGGCATGCACTCCGTTTTAGCACCACTAACAGCTTTCAGCTAGGTAATCAAGAACAGAAAATACGACACCTTTCAGCAGCACAAAATCAGAGTGTCCAGTGTGTTCGGTGTGTCCAATCTCAATTCTGCAGGGCGCTTGGCCAACAATGGTTTGAAGCCTAACTTTTGTTACATCTACTAACGCCATAAGCTGCAAGTCGCAACACTTAGTCCCTCGCCAGGTGCAGATTAGCTTTTTGACCAACTTTGCCAGGCTTGTGGCAGCCATATTGTTAACTGATAACCAAATCTCATAAAACCAACACTAAAGCACACAAACTAATACTTGTTAGAATAAGAGAATCACACCTGCTCAGCATCATGTATTTTTTCTTCAACAAGCTGCAATTCACGCTCAGCATCGCTAATAGACCCCATTTCAGCATGTACAGACTCTGGAATAATGTTTTTAGCATTTAGTATATATAGAAAGAATTTACCACAGGGAAGCGGAAGCTGAGATATTCATGTAAAAGCATGATACAGGATTGAATGAACAATTAAATCCCAGAATTTTTCACTCCAAAGTTTTGCCGTTAAACTGTTATTCAGAACAAATTATAGAAATATAGCAGAAACAAGTTGGCAATCTAAATACTATATGTTTTCTTTGCAGGTCAAAATAAAGACTGATGGAACAGATATACATTGGTTTTCAGACAAGTTTAAGAAAGATTAAAAAAAATAACTTGTTCTGCAATCTAAATATTAAATAGAATATTGTGTTTAGTAAAATAAACAAAGCAGGAAAAAACTGCAGTAAACAAACCGAAAAGGACCAAAAGTTGCGTGTGCATCATTTCATCTCTTAACAAAGACCTGTATCCCACGGGTCCCACTGTACAAATACACGGTGTGGATAACAAGAGAATTTTGAAATTACAACTGGTGGCCCTGATGGAACAGGTGAGTTTAATTGGAGCAGCCACACCACAACCTAAAATCGTAATACAACGCCCCTGGCTAGACTTCAACCATTTACATAAGACTTGAAGTACTGGCTATGGGGTAAGGTTATGGGTGGACATGTTGTCCCCTTCACATACCAAGCCAGAAATAAATAAATAGACAAATACACACAAAAAAAATATTGTAATGTGGGTGATGTTCTACTTCCTACAGCCAACATAAAATCTGCTGGTAAAAAAACCGATACACAGAGAAATTTTCCTGAGATATAGGAAATGTATTTCACATAATCATTTTTTTCTGTTTCCAAGTAATAGATCTTTTTCCAGATTTTATTACTTCTAAGTGTATATGTTTAAATTTGACCTTACTGGCAACAAACAGAACAAACCCACCACCAACTATTCATAGCTTCAGGGTGTTATGACCACATGGCTCTAATATGACAGTAAGTATAACAAACCAAGTTTGAAGAAGAGTAAGTCAACGTTAATGGAAATAGATGTTACCAATAAAGTCCTCGTAAGAAGCTCTTCTATTATTCTCTTCTTGCAAAGCATCTGTAAGTTTCAAATTAATTTTCTGCAGAACTAGTTCTTGGTTCCCAATTTCTTCCTTCACTTGCTGCAGAATTAAGACAGTAAATTGATGAGATGCTAGCTTACATAATGATTGGTTGCAATGCAGTTAAGTAAGTGGTAATCAAGAACAAACCAACCATCATTTCAACTACTAGCTCAGAGGTATCCACAGTAGCATCATGACTATTGTCAATAGAAATTTTCTTGGTATCAACCAACTGCGCCTTTTTACGCTCCAGATGCAACTCCTCATCTTCTCTTTTTCTCTGTGGAACATGAGGGGTTGCTATCAGAAAACTAAGGAAACTGCACAGCAATTTGAATTTTACCTTTAACTGTCTCAATTCTAAATCGATGCTGTCTCGATCAGCAACTAATTTCCTTTTGCGATCCAACCTCTCTGAGTTTATTTGCTCAATTTCAGTAGCTTCCTGCTCCATTTCAGTTATTTTTTCTTCAAGAGAAGTGCACAAACGACCAGCTCTCCAGTTCCTATTTGGAAGAAGAATGGTCTCAACAGAACCTCTATAAAACCTGCAATCAATTGAAACAGAATCAAGAACTCATTGATAGACTTGGTCTATAAGTCTTGTGTTTATCTAGAGTAGTTGGTGGCTGTGTCAGCCCTTATCTTGCTTTAGCATCTGCTTTATCTTATCCTGCTTTAGCATCTACTTTAGAATATGCTGTAATCCTTTCTTAAGGACCAAAACACTACCCTATATGTATCCCCAACCTGCCATAGTTGTGGCAAGGCTAATGAAATCTGAAATCTAGCCACAAACCTGTGCTTTGGTTACAACAAATGGTATCTAGAGCCTAGGTCTTCCCTGGTTCTATCTTGCCCATCCCAATCCCGTCGCCATGTCCTATCCTCCCCGTAACCATTCCTCGGCCATCTACACCCGGCGTGGCCAGTCAGCTGGCGCTGGCGGCGCTGCAGAGCTTTCATGGGCGGCAGACGAGCGCACAGCAGCCCAGGCCATAGCAGATCGGCGAGAGGAGGCGGCGGTGCGAGCCCAGGTGGCTGCTTGGGCAGCGCGGCTGGTGGCAGCAGAGCTCGCAGCGGCACGCGCTGCTGAGGCGGCTGCTGAGGCAGCGTCAGCAGAAGCTGCTGCCTTGCGCGGCGAGGACGTGCGGGGCCTGCGCGAGGGTGGCGCGGACGCTCACGACGCGCGGGAGCGGGCGGTAGCGGCGAAGCAGGAGCAGGCGGACGCGCGTGAAGCGTGCGCGGGACGCACGGGACCTGCGCGGCTTCGACGGATGCAATGCGGGTTGCGCGGGCGCTGCGGACGGCGCGCGGGCCCAGGACGCTCGTGCGGAGGCGTGGCTGGAGCGGGAGGACGAGCGGGCCGTACGGGACCAGCGGCCACGGGACGTACAGCCGCGCGGCGGACGCAACTTCGACGACCAGCGCCTGCACGGAAGCGGCTTCGACCCGGTTGCTGGTGTGCGGGATCCGCGAGTCGACCGAGAGCTAGAGGCGCAGCGGCAGCGGGAGCGAGCAGCACTGGAGTAGGCGCTGCGGGACTTTGACGCACGCGACCCCACCTGTCGCAGCCTCGGCGGATGTGACCACGGCAACAGGGAGCAGGGAGGATGGGAAGCTGGCGCGCGAAGCCCTCGCAAAGTCGCAGGCGGCGCGGTTCCCCTCCCATCGTCCAGACCGTCGTCAAGGATTACGGCAGCAGATGGCTCGCCCGCCAGCGGGAGCGAAAGAAGGGGGAGGCTTCGGGTTCGACGAGCAGCCGCAAGCGCCTTGCGCAAGCGGGACAAGGCTATCCAGGTGCGTGGTGGCACTCCTGACGGCGCCGATGGCGAGCGCAAGGCTACCCGCAACGACACCTGCAAGAGCTGCGGCAGGACCGGAGGACCAACCACTGGGCCAAGGACTGCCGGCAAGCAAAGCGCGGCAGTCAGGCACACGTCGCGCAAGCGCTGGAGGGTGACGAGCTTGGCTCTGTTTTTCGTACACGGGCACATCGAGCCGCACTCCTCTCCCGCACCGGTCGCCGCCGCGCTCCTCCACCTCGACGAGCGACAAGATCGACGGGTGGTACCTTGACACCGGCGCCACCCACCACATGACGGGGCTGCGGCAGTTCTTCTCCGAGCTCGACTCCGGTGTTCGAGGCTCCGTCAAGTTCGGGGACGCCTCCGCCGTGGAGATCAAGGGCGTCACTTCTCAGCGTTGTACACTCAGCAGCAGAATGGCATCGTTGAGCGCCGCAACCAGACCGTGGCGGCCACCGCCCGCGCCCTCCTCAAGCAGAGAGGGATGACGGCAATCTACTGGGGGGAGGCGGTGATGACCGCCGTCCATCTCCTCAACTGCTCGTCCACCAAGGCCCTTGACGGCAAGACGTCGTACGAGGCCTGGCATGGGCACAAACCGACGGTCAGCCACCTCCTTCGGCTACCTCACGTTCGCCAAGGAGCTCAACCACGTCGGCAAGCTCGACGACCGGAGCACGCCGGGGGTCTTCATTGGCTACGCGGAGGGCGTCAAGGCCTACCGCATCCTCGACCCTGCGACACAGCGCGTCCGTATCTCCCATGACGTTGTGTTCGACGAAGGGCAAGGATGGACCTGGGACAAGGCGGTGGACGACGGCTCGACTTCAACTCTCAGAGACTTCGTCGTCGACTATGTCCACTTCGAGGGAGCCGAGGGGAGCTAGCAGCTCATCTTCACCGAGCTCGTCTACCTCAGCACCTGGCTCGCCACCTCCGGCGAGGAGTCCACCGCCTACACCACCAACGAATCCACCACCTACACCACCGGCTACGCCACGCTCTCACCACCGGCTACGCCCCGCTCTCCTGCACTGGCGCCCACACCTCCGAGATCGGCACCAGCAGCTTCGGTCCGTGACGTGCAACGCACGGTGGAGTTTGCCACTCCGCTGTCCAACGACAAGGACCGCATCGATGCCTACCACGACGACGAGCCTTTGCACTACCGCACCATGGACAACATCTTCGGTGATCAGTCCGTCCCTGGACTGGCGATGCACGACCTCGAGGGGGAGCTGCACCTGACGCACGAAGACGGCGAGCCCCGCTCCTTCGCTGAGGCAGAGGGAGACGCGGCATGGCGCGCCGCGATGCAGCAGATGGACGCGGTCAAGCAGAACCGGACATGGGAGCTGGCGGATCTTCCTAACGACCACCGCGCCATTACCCTTAAGTGGGTTTACAAGCTCAAGAAGGATGAGGCCGCAGTGGTGATCAAGCACAGGGCGCGTCTGGTGGCGCACGGGTTCGTCCGGCAAGAGGGAGTCGACTTCGACGACGCTTTTGCGCTCGTTGCGCGGATGGAGTCCGTCCGTCTCGCCGGGATTCGTCATCCCCGGCAATGAGAACAAGGTTCTCCGCCTGCGCAAGGCCCTCTACGGCTTGCGGTAGGCGCCCTGAGCTTGGAACGCCAAGCTAGACTCCACCCTCAAGCAAATGGGGTTCCAGCAGAGTCCTCACGAGCCTGCAGTCTACCGGCGGGCACAGGAGGCAATGCCATGTTGGTAGTCGTCTACATCGACGACTCGGTGATCACCAGGCACCAAAGAGGCCGAGGTGGAGGCGTTCAAGGAAGAGATGGACACCTTCCAGATGAGCGACTTGGGCCTTCTCTCCTTCTACCTAGGGATCGAGGTCCACCAGCTCTAGCATCTCCCTTCGCTAGACCGCCTACGCCAAGCACATCGTCGAGTTGGGCGGGCACACCGACTACAACCAGCCCACACTCCCATGGAGGAGAGGCTGAAGCTGAGCCGTGACAGCACGGCGAAGGAGGTCAACGTCACGCAGTACCGGCGCATTGTGGGCAGCTTTCGCTACCTCGTCCACACGCAGTCGGACCTGGTGTTCGCCGTTGGCTACGTCAGTCGGTTCATGCAGCGACCGACGACGGAGCATCAGCAAGCTGTCAAGAGGATCCTCCGCTACGTAGCGGGCACCTCCGACTACGGCTTGCACTACCCGAGGTGGCCAGACGCAGAGCACTTCATCGGGTACAGCGACAACGACCTCGTCGGCGACATCGACACAAGCAAGAGCACCAGCGGCACGCTGTTCTTCCTCGGCAAGTGTCTGATCAGCTAGCAGTCGGTTAAGCAGCAAGTGATGGCTCTATCCAGTTGCGAGGCGGAGTACATCGCTGCCACTACCGCCTCGACTCAGGCTCTCTGGTTGGCTCGACTACTGGACGATCTCCTGGGCAAAGAAGCAGAAGCAGTGGAGCTCAGAGTGGACAGCAAGTCCGCCTTGGCGTTGGCGAAGAACCCCGTCTTCCATGAGCGCAGCAAGCACATCTGCATCAAGTACCACTTTATCAGGAGCTGCTTGGATGAGGGGAGCATCACTTTATCAGGAGCTGCTTGGATGAGGGGAGCATCAAAGCCAGCTACATCAACACCCAGGACTAGCTCGCTGACCTTCTCACCAAGTCCCTTGGACGGGTCAAGTTCCAGGAGCTTCGCGCCAAGATTGGGATGGTTCAAATTTCCCAAAAGGCGCCACACAAGGCTTAGGGGGAGAATGATAGACTTGGTCTATAAGTCTTGTGTTTATCTAGAGTAGTTGGTGGCTGTGTCAGCCCTTATCTTGCTTTAGCATCTGATTTATCTTATCCTACTTTAGCATCTACTTTAGAATATGTTGTAATCCTTTCTTAAGGACCAAGCAAGCTACCCTATATGTATCCCCAACCTGCCATAGTTGTGGCAAGGCTAATGAAATTTGAATCTAGCCCCAAATCTGTGCTTTGGTTCCAACACTCATCATTTCTTTTCTGGAAGACACTTTAGAACAGCAAATGACTTTTGAAGGTTGCCAATTTGTATCCTGGACTTCCAATGTCCATTTGTCCACAATATCACCACTTACACAGCCAAACTTATTGCAGCTTATAACGACGACAGTTAATCACGTGAGCATCTGAGAGACCACTGATCATCTCAATAAGGTTGTTCATCGATACAGTGACATTTTTGTAAGGGGTCAAAAGAAATCAGGTTATAGCATTTTTCAGACAAATTTCTCATCATACTCATAAGGGGAAAAATCAGCCAGTTGGAGTTGATCTTTCTTCAAACCTCAACAGGCAGAAAACTACCAAGTGAATGTTTAGATGGTAAATTATGGAAGGGAGTAATCTGAAAATTGCATGGCCAAGAAGTGTATGCTGAAGTTCTGTCCTATAAGTTTCCTATGTGTTCGCAGAGGGGAATGGGCAAATGACTAGAATCGTAAGCTTACCTTTTAAAAGATCTACAGTTCTTAGTATTCACACATGTTTCTCAACCAAAGTTCCAAAAGGCGACGCCTTAGGCGCGACTAATCGGGAGGCGACGGGCTTCGCCTGGCCTACGGGGGTAGGCGGACCCCTAGGCGGGCGTAGCGCCTCAACAGCGATTTGGCGGCGCGCAGGAGCTCTAGGCGGACGCCGCGGGCGAGCGCGCGAAATTTTTCGCCCCCGCGGAAGCGCGCGCGCAGCTGGCTTCGGGCGCGGGAAAAGAAGCCTCGCGCAGGAAGGATAAGAGGGAGAAGGGGGGAAAAGGACGCGCGCCTGCCTGCTTCGTGCTTCTCCCGCTCTCAGACGGACGCTGCCGCTCACCCGCCTCCGCCTGCGACGTTGCGACCCCGCCGGGAAGCTGCTCCCGCCGGCCGCGCTCCTCCCCGCCGGCGCCGGGCAGGTGGATCCGCAGGCCGCGCTCCTCCCCGTCCCTAAGCTCCTCCCCGCCTGGAAGCGCCTCCCCGCCAGTCGCACTACTCCCCTCCTCGAAGCTCCTCCCCACCGGTCTCGTCTTCCCGTCGGCGCACCCCTCCCGCAAGAGCATCCCTCCCCGACGGTGTCCTCCGGTCCTCCCTATGCGACAGCAGGTGGCAGCCCCAAGGTCAGTCCCCTCCCCTGCTCGTTGCTCCCCTCTCCTACTCGCTGCTCCCCTCCCCTGCTCCTCTCCCCTCCTCTGAAGCTAAATATTGAATCTGAATACTGAATCTGCATGTATCTGTGATTGCCTGAATACTGAATCTGAACTCTGAATGCCTGAATGCTCTGAATGACTGCTCTGAATGCCTGAATGTTAGAGAGCCTGATCTATGCTCTGAATCTGAATGTATGCCTACTCTGAATGCCTAATCTGAATGCCTGAATGTTACTCTGAATGCCTTCTCTGAATGCCTGAATGTAGGATGTGTGACTGATTGTTAGCTGATTTTCTACATGTATTGCCTGAATGTTCACTGAACTCACTGAAATCTGAATGTATGTATAGGCTATTGCATACTGAATGCCTGCCCACTTGTTTGTGCTTCAAAATTTGTAATTACTAGCTGCTGATATGGTCTGTTCATGGATGGGAGATGGCTGAAATCATTCAGATAAGTGTCAACTTGCTATTTTCTATTTTTGGATGAACTGCTTGCTGTCTATTGAGTATTTACAAGCTGTCAATCATTGTTGTAGGAACTAGGAACAAGCTGTCTATTGATTATTGAGCCTAAGCCAGTAAGCCACTAAGGTATGTCTACTGCCCTCTCTTTTATATACTGTATTCAGCTACTCTATGCTTCTATTTAACTAATTTACTCAGCATTTCTGCTATATAATATATATATATATATATATGTATGTTGTGTGCTAAATTCGCAAAACGCCTAGAAAAACGCCTTGAAACGCCTAGGCTGGCCTAGGCGCTAGGCTAGGGGTCAGCGCCTAGCGCCTTCTTAAACTTTGTTCTCAACAGAAACTAGACAAATGCTAGAGTGAAAAGAGTATGACCAAATCATGATCCAAAAAACAGCAGTACCAATGAGACATACATTTTGCAACCATCAGAAGTATATACTTCCTTCAGATTCCGTATCCTCTAATCAAATGCAACAGACATTCCCATTTCATCATCTCTAACTAGGACCTGTCTCTCTGCATGGCGCTGAAATAGTGATTTTTTTAGCAACATGATCAAAAACTATTATTAAAACAGAAGCATCTGAACCAAAAGAAAGGAAAGAAATTAGCGAAGTGTACATGACGCATTACCTGATCCACTAATACATTTAATATAGTAGGAAGTTCCGAATGAATAACTGAAAGTACTGTCGGGTGTGGCGTTGAAGGAAGCAAATGATCTGGAATTTGTACCCTACTCAAAGATGGAATAAGAATTCATCTGAGACAACCAAAGATGAACAAAATAGAACACCTTATTGTCTTACCGTGGTTTAGCGAAGTCATATATAATAATTTGAAGGTTGCGGTAGTTCACTTCTTTCGCGCATTCTCGTAAAAGGAGTAAATCCTTATGGCATGTGACAATGAAAGCATCTAAAAAGCTCCCTAATGCACATTCAATTGCAATGGACCAGAAGTCACTTGCCAGTTGCTGCATCAAAGCAAATAACACAAGGTAGTGAAACCTGTAGTGAACAGGTATAGTAATCAAAAGAGACAAGACAACAATCAAAGATAGTTATGGCATACCAAATGACATCCTATTGGACCAATAGGATGGCATTTGAATTTACTCTTGTGTCTCTCTACTGATTTATAGAGGCTCTGAAGTCTATCTCCTCCGAAGGCTGTTAGCTGCAAAGGAGCATCACTAGTTGCTACAAATTAATTTATACAACCAAATAGTTGCTACTGAAAATGTCAGAAAACACAGCATTATAATAGTAGAAATATTTAATGCTTAATGAAGCATCGGATATTACTTTGTCATGTTGGCGCTGTCGTAGATCATCAATTTGACTTTTCAGTTGATTGATCCTACGTCCATCATCTTCTATCTGCAAAGTACATGCAACAGTACAATACCACAAGGATCCAAGACAAAGAGGCTGACACCATAAACATAGCAGCGCAGGCAAAATTACATGTGGTGCAGATAATTGTGACTACTCAAATTATTCCCCTAAGCTGAAGCCATGTCGCTAACCAGGAAGGAGCTATACTTCTGGGTTTTGGCCAGGGCTATGGGCATCTCATTTTTCCTTGCCCTTGGGCCTCAGCAGTCAGTAAACTCCGCCTATGGTAAAGGAGGGCCTTTGGTGTCCCAGCATAGCAGGTCCCAAAGCCTTGGTAAAGGAGGAGGATTGTGTTAGGCGCAGCGAGCTAATGTAAAAACTTAGCCACTTTAATGGAGATGAAACCCAAAAAGTTGCGATGGATTTGCGGTCACACAAGAATGGACCGAGTTCAGAACGATGATATACGTGATCGCCTAGAGGTAGCACCAATTGAAGAAAAGCTTGTCCAACATCGGTTGAGGTGGTTTGGCCATGTCCAAAGGAGACCTCTAGAGGCACCAGTGCATTGTGGAGTCTTAAGCCAAGTTAATAATATGAGGAGAGATTGAGGAAGACCGAAATTGACATCGGGGGAGGCAATAAAAAGAGATTTGAAAGCTTGGAATATACGTAGAGATCTATGTTTGAATAGGAGTACTTGGAAAGCAGCTATTGAAGTGCCTGAACCGTGACTTGGGGCTCCTGGTGGGTTTCAACTCTAGCCTACCCCAACTTGCTTGGGACTGAAAGGCTATGTTGTTGTTGTTGCTGCTGCTTGGGCCTCAGCAGTCAGTAGGAGTCCTCTTTTCCCCTTGGTTAGGTCAAGGTTGTTCAATGTTTTCAACGGCGTGCATGTAATCAAACACCTAATTGTGTGCATGTGGGTGTGTTCGTCAAGGACTCAAGGTTATTGCCCCTTTTTCTTCTTAACATCCCTTCCATCTAATTTTGATAAGTGCATATAAGGGTAAAAAAGGCTTTGTTATTGTTGTTGTTGTTGCATATAAGGGTAAAAAAGTTTCTGAAATCAAATGTCTGGTAGGAGGTGCGGGCGCCCATTGTGCCTCAAGCGAGACAGACAGCACTTTGGTTTTGCTCAGAGATTGAATGTGCTACAACACAGCCGCTCTTTCATCTGCCCTGGGGTCCAAGCTGTTAGAACCAAAGCACAGGTTTGGGGCTAGATTTCTGATTTCATTAGCCTTACTACAAACATGGCAGGTTGGGGATACATATAGAGTAGCATACTTGGTCCTTAAGAAAGGATTACAGCATATTATTAGTAGATGCTAAAGCAAGATGATAAGATAAGATGCTGACATAAGCACCAACTACTCCTAAGATAGATAAACACAAGACTTATGCTTTCACAAGCTGAATAAATCCCAAGTCGTTGAGTAGCGTGGATCACTCAGGACATTGACATGCTAGCATGCGGGAGTTGGTAGGACCAGAGCAACGTTTTTAGACATGTGACAATGGCCAAGCATGCTGGGCACCAAAGCGACGATGCAGCGTACTACAATGCAATTAGTGATCTCCTTGGTCTCTGTCAGAGCTTAAGCGTCGACTAAAAGCAGATCGAGTATAATGATATACAACTCTCTGATGTGTTGGTGTGTGTTTTGTCAGCCTGAGTATAATGGCTGCTGATGTGTTGGTGTGTGTTTTGTAACTGGGTAGGGGCTACCCAAACCCGTTTTTTCTTCTACCTTAATGAAATGACGCGCAGCTCTCCTGCGTAGTTCGAGAAAAAAAGATATACAACTCTCTTACGTGTTCAAGGGGAAAAAATTATATGGTGCAGAGTGCAGAGAGTTGTGACTGTTCAAATCATTCTCTGATTGATGGTTTGACATATTTAACATCCATATGTCATATAATTTTCAGCATAAATGAGATTTGACTTAGGTCTCAGTTCTATTTTATATTGCCATCAAGTATTATAGTTGCTTTCTAAACCTCCTTTTTTTCAAACACACAGGAGTTGTGTATCATTATATTAAGAAGAGTCTAGGTGACTCATACAACCCCCTAAGGGCATGAACAACTTTCTAAACCTCAATAGTTATTTTTTTTAATAAACTTATAGCACCCTAAAGCTCCAATTGTGGATCACTTCACTCCTTTAACACTTCTTTTCCTCGGACAGGCAGGAGAGTTGTGTATCATTATATTAAAGAAGAATTACAAGGGTAAGGACCCCTACAACACACACCAAAGAACAACAGGCTTTGTCAGTTGGCAACACAGAGACACATCAATGTCACTGTTAGGTTGGCCAGTATGCTTCCTGAGATGGAGCTCAAGAGATGACACAGTTTGTTGTGCAGAAAGCTGGTTTTCTCGTGGCACATTTGAGAATCATAACAAAACTGCAATGAATAAGCCACTCTAGGCAGACCCAGTTTGGAGGCAAAAAAATTACGAATACCTCTTTTCCGATGTCACTGATGTTTTTAATAATGCCCCGTAGTTCTTCGGATGATTTCTTTTCTTCCTCATTTAACCTGGATGACACACAAGGCAGAATCAAACATCCAATAAGCAAACCTGGTTGTCACCTAAAGCAAAAGTAATTAACATGAAAACTACCTTGTAGCATTTAAATGGGCAGAGTTTATCTCCTGCTGTAATTCCCGTATGCTATCCTCAACTTGAGATACTTCAGCCTTCGATTTCATATAGAAAGGATTCAGATGAGAATATGAGATAGAATAATAGGAAGTTCCAAAAGAAAACTAAAGGTTCCAAAGCCAAATAAATATACAAAAGAAACCAAAAGGGACATAACACATTAGTGCTGACTGCTGGAGAATATCAAAATATTAATAAAAGCCCAAATATATCCCAATAAGAGGAATATGCCAGCATAGGATATACAGTTGTGGTTCAGGCCCAGTGGCCCACCAACCAAGCATAATCCAGAATCTCCAATAATGGATATCTTGGGAATGTAACAGACAGAGCCCGCCTAATCCAGGACCAGGATAAGTATGTCCAGAATTTCCTAATCGGGTTACAGAGCACTAGAGCAGGGGCAACACAAAACAGAAGCTAGAGCCTTGGCTAACAAGGGAAAAACTCCTATCCGAATGAAGACAGACTAATATATGAACACAGGAGGACCTTAGAATTGTGAATCGAACTCAAGACCTAATGCCTTGCTGAGATCACCATCCCAATCTCACCGAGTTCGTAGTCTAGCAGCATCATGCCCAGACCCTTATAACTAGGTATAGACACCTACACTGTAACCAGATCATCAATAAAGAAGGAAAAGAACACATGACATAGGGTTATTATCCTTCAGGAGGTCTGAACCAGTATTCAATGTGTGTCTCATGTTTGTGTATTGGACTACGATACCCTAATCCAAAAGGCAACCAATTTATTAAAATATTATTTACGATATCTAAATCTTTGACAAGTACAAATCTATTTAAAATAATACCTGGCTTCACTGTCTATGAGAAAAATCACCAACTTTCAAACGCATTTGGGGGCATCTTCTCATCTAACTTTTGCTACATAGTAGTTATTAGGCAATGCATAGGTGCCTAGCCATGAGCTGTCTGTAACTGAGTACAGTGAGTTGCCCCAGGGAATCATGCAATATAATATGTACAATTATGAAAAAGTATATATTTTCCACAAGAAATTGATCAACAGAAAAGAGACATGAGATCTGGTTGCAGGCACCCTTGATCTTCTAAGTTAATTCTATATGGGAATGTGTGATGCACCATCCTTAGTTCGAATTTTCAATAAAGAAACAAATTGTGTAAGATACGGGTGAATGTGCACTTTAACTTTTTTTCACTTATGTTCAAGATATAAGGCCAAGATCTGAACCAAGAAATCAAGGTCATGTATGGCTTGATCTATTAATGAACGATTGTGCACAACAACCCAAAAGAGTTGATTAATTCCATAGCCAACTACAACCAATCATGTTGGCTACTAGCCATTGCTATTGAGATAGAATTACTTTTTGAAAAGGAAAGAGGAAAATACAGTGGCGGTCCTCAAACTTGTCCTAGGGTGCCATCTAGGTCCATAAACTTGCATATTGCAGAAGTGCATCCCAAAACTTGATAATCTATATCATCTAGGTCCATGAACTTGCAGACTTTAGAAGTGTGCCCCTCATCTTACTAAATGGTGGTCATCTAGGTCTGAAGTGTTAGACATATGAACAGCAGTGTCCACTTGCATAACCATCACAACTATAACCGATGAAGAAGTGGATCGCTTTTTATGGACTCACTCAGAATGACCCTCATGGCCTATTAGAAATAGAAGGTGCACTGGTGCAATCCCTACCAAAAGAAAAGGATTACAATCGGGCTGGTAATAATCGATAGAGTCATACTTCCAATAATGGCCATGTTGTAGACTCCTTCATGGGCCGACAGTACCGCCGTCGACCGAAGTGACAACCCAGCCCAAGGCATGGGTAGAGCGACACAGGCGGCATGCAGAGCAGGAGGGTGGTAACAGGAGGGAAATAGGAAGGATTGTTAGGCGAGTTTGTGGATTAGGAGGTGCATCTAAAATATAAAGGGGCACCTTAGTTTGGATTGTAATCATCGAAGAGAATACACCTTCCCATGTGGGGCGTGGGTTTCCTCTTCGCCAGTGGCACCGGGTTTTTCCACCGCCACCGCCGTTGACCACGACCCTCCACCAGTTCCTCGCTATCCTCTGCGTTCTCTTCCTCAATCCCAATTGCTTCCACACTCACTACTACGCTTGCCTCACTGAGTAGTGAGTAGCCTGCCCACGCTGTATCAGGCCAAATTCAACCTAGGCTAATTCTTGTGCTATTAGTAACCAATGATTTCATTTGGCACTAGTCTTTTTTCTCTTGATACTTATAGTTGTGATAGTTACGCATGTGAACACAAAGCATATCAAAATTAGATTAAAATTAACACATAGTTGCTCATAACAACTTGGACCTGGATGACACTATTTAGTAAGACCAGAGATGCACTTATACACTCTGCAAGTTCATGGACTCAGATGACACAAATTAGCATGTTTAGGGTTGCACTTGTGCAATCTGCAAGTTCATAGACCTAGATGGCACCCAACAAACAAGGACCGCTTGTGTATTTTACTCAAAAAAGAAAATACATTTAGAAGGAAAAAAATCACCTGAGTTTGTTGCATATGCTGCAGCTCAAATTCATTAACTTGCTCCTCTAGTTGTCTCACACGGGCATTCATTTTATTCAACACTTGTCTTCCACGAGCATGCTCTTTCTCTAGATCCATCTTCAGTTTCACAGCCTGCAAAGGAACATGAATAACTAAGAAGACAGCTAACAAAGTAATGGTGCAATCATATCTAGTATCTAATAGGAATAGATGCAATTTCAAATTTTCAGGAAATTTGTCACATAAATAATAAATAAGACAATTTTCACATAATTTACGACACATAATTCTAATTTACTTCAATGGGTAACCTATTCTCCCAATTAAATTGCTTAAATGGTATAGAAGATGTGGATGCTCATATAAGCACATTCAAATGGCAAATGGAGGCAAGTGAACAGTTTGTTAGAGCGCGCAGCAGATCCAGCCCAGCTCGCCTAGGTCCACCATAGCCCACAATATACCAACTACGCCTATGTTGTCTCAACATAGCAGGTCCCAAGCCCTGGTAAAGGAGGAGGGTTGTGATAGGCGTGGCGAGCCAACGTTAAATCTAGCCATTCTAATGCAGATGAAACCCGAAAGAAAACCGTTGGGGCGTAACCCTCTTAGCGACGCGCCATATCAGAACCCGGGTATGGTGTTAAATGGGCAAGGGCCGGGTCGGCACCCCCTTGGTGATACGCCGTGTCACGATCTGGGCATGGTGTCAAGTGAGCAAGGATCGGTTCGTCGTTTCCTTTGTGGCGCGCTACATCGGCGCCCGGGTGTAGTGAAAAATGAGCAAGGGTCTTCACATCTGAGTCAACGGGTGCGAAGGGTAAGGAAGCTAGTCGAACCAACTAGGATCCGTTTAGCTAGTTGGAATGTAGGGTCGCTTACAGGTAAGTTAAGAGAATTAGTTGATACCGCGACTAGGAGGCGTGTAAATATATTATGCGTTCAAGAGACTAAATGGAAGGGTCAGAAGGCGAAGGAGGTGGACAATACAGGTTTCCAGCTTTGGTACACAGGGACAGTCGCGTATAGAAATGGAGTAGGAGTTTTGATTGATAAGAGCCTCAAGAATGGTGTGGTGGGAGTGAGAAGGCAAGGAGATAGGATTATCTTAGTCAAGCTTGTCGTTGGTGATATGGTCTTAAACGTAATTAGTGCGTGTGCCCCCCAAGTAGGCCTCGACGAGAGTACTAAGAGACAGTTCTGGGAGGACTTAGATGGCCTGATTAGAGCTGTACCTAGTAGTGAGAAGCTTTTTATAGGAGATCTTAATGGGCATGTAGGTACTACAAGCGCAGGTTTCGAGGCAGTTCATGAAGGTTTTGGGTATGGTAGTAGGAATCAGGAGGGGGGGAAGTTTTGGACTTCGCGGTAGCTTTTGACCTGATGATAGGCAACACTTTCTTTAGAAAGAGAGAATCTCATCTAGTGACCTTAAGTAACGGACAACACTCTAGCGAGATTGACTTTGTCCTCGCAAGAAGAAAGGACAAACGAGCATGCTTGGGTTGCAAGGTGATACTAAGGGAGTGTGTTGTTTCTCAACATAAGCTTTTGGTGGCAGACTTTCGTTTTCAGGTGCGTGCCCGTAGGGATAAACAAGCTAAGATTGAAAGAATAAAGTGGTGGAAACTGAAAGAAAAGACGTCAGAGGTATTCAGGGAAAGGGTTATCAAAGAGGGCTCTTGAAAGGAAGAAGAGGACATAAACAACATGTGGGAGAAGATGGCAACCAACATTCGGAAGGTGGCCTCAGAGGTGTATGGAGTAACCAAAGGAAGTGGAGGCGAGGCTAAAAATACTTGGTGGTAGAACGAGAAAGTCCAAAGGGCTATTAAGGAGAAGAAAGAATGCTATAGACGCTTGTATCATGACAGGAGTGTGGACAACATAGAGAAGTACAAGGTGGCAAAGAAGACTACAAAGCGAGCTGTAAGTGTGGCAAAGGGTAGAGCGTACGAGGATCTTTACCAACATTTGAGTACGAAGGAAGGAGAGAAGGACATTTATATGATGGCTAGAGTTCGTAAGAGAAAGACAAGGGACTTCAACCAAGTTAAGTGCATTAAGGATGAAAGCGAGCATCTCTTGGTGAAGGAGGATGAGATCCGAAATCGATGGCAAGAGTATTTTGACAAATTGTTCAATGGTGAGAATACGGACACAACCTTTTAGTTGGATGACTCTTTTGATGACACCAATAGCCGCTTTGTGCGGAGAATCCAAGAATCTAAGGTCAGAGAGGCGTTGAAAAAGATGAAATGAGGTAAGGCGATGGGATCGGATGGTATCCCAATCGAGGTGTGGAGATGCCTCGGGGACATAGCTATAGTATGGCTAACCAAGCTGTTCAACCATATTTTTCGATCGAACAAGATGCCTGACGAGTGGAGGAGAAGTATATTGGTACCGATCTACAAGAATAAAGGGGGCATTCAAAGTTGTACTAATTACCGGGGAATTAAGTTGATGAGCCATTCTATGAAACTATAAGAGAGAGTTATCGAGCATCGCTTGAGAGCAATAACGCGGGTCTCTATGAACCAATTTGGTTTCATGCTCGAAAAGTCAACCATGGAAGCTATTTTCTTAATAAGACAAGTTATGAAACGGTATAGGGAGAAGGAGGACCTACACATGGTTTTTATTGACTTGGAGAAGGCTTATGATAAAATACCAAGGAATGTTATCTGGTGGGCTTTGGACAAACATAAAGTCCCAACGAAGTACGTCGGGCTCATTAAGGACATGTACAACAATGTTTTGACTAGTGTTCGAACAAGTGATGGAGACACGGATGACTTCCCGATTAGGATAGGACTACATCAAGGGTCAGCTTTGAGCCCTTATCTGTTTGCCTTAGTGATGGATGAGGTCACAAGGGACATACAAGGGGACATCCCTTGGTGTATGTTTTTCGCGGACGATGTAGTGCTAGTTGATGAAAGCCGGACAGAAGTGAATCAGAAACTGGAGTTATGGCGGGAGACTTTGAAGTCCAAAGGTTTTAGACTCAGTAGAACTAAAACTGAGTATATGAGATGTGACTTCGGCACTATTACTCGAGAGGAGGAAGATATTAGTTTGGAAGGTCAAGTAGTGCCTAGGAAGGATACATTTCGATATTTAGGATCAATGCTACAGAGAGACGGGGATATTGATAAAGATGTTAGCCATAGAATCAACGCAGGGTGGATGAAGTGGCGCCAAGCATCTGGTGTCCTATGTGACAAAAGGGTACCACAGAAGCTAAAAGGCAAGTTTTATAGGACGGCGATTAGACCTGCTATGTTGTATGGTGCAGAATGTTGGCCTACGAAAAGACGACATGTTCAACAGATAAGTGTCGCGGAAATGCGAATGTTGCGTTGGATTTGCGGTCATACAAGAATGGATCGAGTTCGGAACGATGATATACGTGATAGATTAGGGGTAGCACCAATTGAAGAAAAGCTTGTCCAACACCGGTTGAGATGGTTTGGACATGTCCAACGGAGACCTCCAGAGGCACCGGTGCGTAGTGGAATCCTAAGACAGGAAAGTAACGTGAAGTGAGGCAGAGGAAGACCGAAGTTGACTTGAGTACAGGCAATAAAAGGAGACTTGAAAGGATAGAATATACCTAAAGACTTAGCCTTAGATAGGAGTGCTTGGAAAACAGCTATTCACGTGCCTGAACATTGATTGCTTCTGCTGGGTTTCAACTCTAGCCTACCCCAACTTGTTTGAGACTTAAAAGCTTTGTTGTTGTTGTTGTTGTTGTTGTTGTTGACTAAACCAAACAATCTCCCCCGTTACACACAAACAATCCACCCGTTACATATCGGGCCAAACTCTTCGCATCGCACACAACCCGTGTGATCTCCAAAAGACGTTATCCAGGCCCCGAGTCCAATGCTCCATGTCACGCACAACCCATGTGACCTCTGAGACATTAATGGGCTCCCCCATCACCATGTGACCCCTCCGGAAGACGTTATATGGGCCTAGAGTCCAACGCTCCATGTCACACACAACACGTGTGACCTCCAAGATGTTAAACGGGAACAGGCTAGCCCATCACCATGTGACACCTCAGATCTTTTAGGGTTTTCGACCATGGCTCTAATACCACTTGTTAGAGTACGCAGCATATTCGGCCTAGCTCACTATACCCACAAGCCGGCACCTCCTTAAGCCCAAGTCCACCGGAGCCCACAACATATCAAGGCCTCGGAGCTAACTCAACCCAAAAGACTAGCCTAATAGGTTAGGGCTACCCCTGCTTTATATGTTGTGCTCCCCATCATCAATTTCCGATGTGGGACTAAACTAACACAATTGCCTGCAAGTGATAAATGTGAACAATATCATATGACTAGTGGTAAAAACGTGGCAACTATCCATGACCTAAAGGTAAAGTTTAGATAATAATTTACACCGAAATGAGAAGTATAACCAGAAAACTGAAACATGCAAAGTATAGGTACTTGCAATGTAGTGCAATTTCATATTCACAAGGCCATGAACATGCATACAATATACATCTATTATGAAAGCAACATGCAATAGCACCAAGATTGTTATTGACAACTTACAAGTCATAATGTCTTTAAGCAATTGTTGTAAAACATCAGAAACAACATATAAAGCAATACTGAAAGCTACTTAAGCCAACAATACACCTCACGAATGTCATGATCCATTTTTTCCTTCATCCTCCTTTCTTCCTGTGTCTTCTCCGAAAAGGATTTAAAATTTTCTGTCTTCACAATAAATTCTTTCCTCAGTTCCTCTATAATTGCCTACAAGATAAAGGAAAAATCAATTCAGTTAACAACCATTTCAACATTTCAGACCTGTTGAATTATTAATTTAGCACACAAATTTTGCAGCATGAATGCAACATCCTCAGGGAGTAGGGAAAACTGTAACATAAACTACTGGAAGGAATGAAACTTGAACCATGGCAATTCCATTTCAACAGGTTAGTTTGTAAACAAACAAATGATGACTTCAAACTGCCATGAAATAACCAACTGCAAATGTTTTAAACAAATTCAGAAGACAAACATTGTTAGCCATTACGAATTTTGGTATTATACCCTGCATTGCATATTTAGGGTCTGTTTGGATCCACTGCTCTAAACTTTAGAGTTAAAGTCTCCAAACAGGTGGTCTAAGGTCCTACTAAACTTTAGCCTACCTCACATTAGAGCTTCAGACCTCAAAAGTGAGCTAAAGTGCTCTAAAATTTTTAGAGCTCTAAAGTTTAGAGAAGGGGATCCAAACAGGCCCTACAATATAGAAGCTCTAATTAGCTGACCCAAATTTCTACATAGCTTTGATCAAAGTCCACTCCATTCATTATTACAAATATCATACATGGCCGTTCAAATGTATTAAAGAAGTGTCCTTGAATTCATCCTTTGATCTAACAAAACCATGAGTACAATACAAGCAAAAAAATTAGCAGTCTATTATGAATTTATATTTGGTAAAATGCTGACTAACAAACATGAAGTTCTTCCAGCGTTACTTGTACTCAACTAGGGATTTAATATAGTTAGGCAGTTAGATAACAAAAAAAAATATCACAACATACATAGAACAGGACTGCTCTAAGAAAAATGAGACAGAATTGTTCCCCTTAAAGTATCACTTACTGTATTTCGATCAATTCGTTCTTGGCATGCAGGGATACGCTCTTTGAGTTTCTCAAGCGTCTCTTCTTGTTCCCCAATCTTTTTATCAACATCATAAACCCATGACCAAGCCAACTTTTTCTTCAAGTTTTCAATCTCGTGTGCTATTTCCTCAATATGTTCCATATTCTTTATCTTCTCCTGAATTTCATCAAGTTCTCTGAGCGCTGGCCTAATTGACGCTTCCAGATCTTCAACTATAGAGTCCGCAATGTTCAGGTTGTCTCTTATTGTAGCAAGCAAGTCATTCACTTGTTGAAGAAGCGTAGCCTTGAAAAAGAACTGAAGCAAAACAGAAAGATATGAACAGTAAAAACCTAGAATGAGGCCAGTTACCAGTTATATTAGGAGAGCATACAGAATGTGCAGGTGCAGCACACTTTTAAACTCCAACTTAATGACTGAAGCCTAATTGCTCAAGTTTATCTAAAATGGTACAGTATATTCTGAAATCTGGCCATCAATAAGTTGAGTATTATCTTTTTCATGAAACAACAATCAGCAAATAATTCAGCAAGAATGAAAATATACAATGGCCAGACCACTGACAGGCACATGAATTTGCATTTGACAATAATAGATCATTAAAAGGCATAGATGTTCCGTTGCATAGTTAAAAATTGCAGAAGAGTGGTGCGAAACTAAAAGTTTTGATTACCTTGAACTTATCCTTGTCATTTCCTGAATGTAAAAACTCTCTGCTTTTGTCTTGACTCATAATTACACAAGGGTTGTCAACTTCAATCTGAAAAGTGACACAGATGCATAACAACGCAGACAACATATATCTAGTAATCACATTACAAATAAGCACTCCAGCAGAAAGGTATAAAGATGAAAACAATTAGATATCTATAGAATGAACCCATGTTGAAGTACCAACTGTTTAACCAAAAGCATCCATAAATATACACCATGCTGGGAGCTTGGTCCATTTGGAATCACCGCAATCGCTGTGTGTTTGATGGGATTCAACTGAGCCTAAATAGTGTTCTGGTTTCGGTAAAAAATGAGTTTCTCCTGTGGAGTTTGGCCGGAGCTCGGGGAATATCCAATCTCCTTGCTCTAGAGCCAGCCAATGCGTGAGTTCCTTTCTAGTGGTCTTGGGTCAAGTTTGAAAAGTGTGAGAGAGATACACCTTTAGATATAGAAGGGTGTGTGTATGTGTGTGGCTGTATGGGGTTTCTAAACCCACTCCTTTACTCTTCTTAATATAATGATACGCAGCTCTTCTGCATGTTCGAGAAAAAAAAATATACACCATGCTGTCAAGAAACTAGACCTCACTGGCTTTGGGCCGGCGGTTCCCCTCCTGCTGTGGCTACCTCAGCCTCCCCTCCGGCTGGTCGGCTTGTTGTATATTCTATCTCTTTGTACAGGTTTATGTTTATTTTTAAAATAAATAAAATCCTACAGTGGGGGCTTCCCCTGCTGTATTTCCCGTTCAAAAAAAACTAGAAACGATCTATATTACCAACATCAAGGAGTGCAGAGCTCCTATACTGCTGACTGAATTTGCCCACGTACCATGTTGGATGTGTGTGTTGTATAGCATAACCTCACCATGTGCCTTAAGCACTCAAGAGAGTGTGGCAATTATCAACTTAATATTAACAATCATACGATCATATTTTGCCTATTTTGAACCAGTACTCCAGAGAAAAACAAATAATGAAGAGGCAACCAATGAACTAAGCAAGTCAAACATACAAGAATGTTCTGTTCTAAGCATTCTAAGCAACAAGCAACTTACGTTAAAATGTTCAATTATTTCATTTAGGTCATCCTTGCGATGCGCCACCTTCCTCCCTGTTCCAGTACAAGCAGACATTAACAGTTAATATAACATAAGAGTTCAAGGGGAAATCTAAAAGAGCTGATAAAAAAATAAAGCTATTCTCTTAGTGCAATTTAGCAAATTTACCACAATTATCAATTTGTAATTCATACTTAATGGACTTCAAATATCAGCCCGTTATTCAGGTCCAAAAGCCATTGTCATATTCAAGGCATACAGTGTTTCATTTAATAGAACTTATGATGGAAATGAAGGGTAACATATAAAAACTGGGCACTCGTATATTATATCGTGGGAAGGCAGAATGTCTGTGATTTAAAAACATGTAGTAAGAAGCCAACAATTTAAGAACATGTGAACTTTTTGCCTACTTGGAAGTGGGTCATGATGCTTGTCACAACAAAGGTTGTGACAACTAATAAAGGAAAAATGCAACAGTCTAATATTTTAAAGGGGCATTTGCATATTGAGGGCTAATTACCAAAATGGTTGCACCACTGCCCCAACATTGATTAGAAACCAAGGGCAATGGTGCTAACATTTTGAAAACAGCCAGTCCTGTGGTGCAAAGTGCACAAAAAAAGGGAATGAACTCAATAGTCATGAGAAGCCTCTATTGTAAACCAACCTTACAAGTGAATAAACAAAGGCAACGATCTAAATTGATAATCTCAAAAACTACAATAATGTTAAAGAAAATAGCACAGTCTATTAGAATGAAAACATGACCAAAAATTGATAAATTGGTGCCAGCAACTTCACCCAAGAAACGCCACTTGCAATAGAAGAACACGACCAACAATCGGGGAGGCTAGAAGTAGAACAAGTACTATTACCATGTTGATCTTTCAAAATTGTAGAACCAGCTGGTTCAGTAATCCTGCGTTCCAATATAATAGTGTCCCCGTATACTTCAGGCTTAAACGCATCTTCCCCATGGTTATTAATATCCACAGTAATTGCTGCATAGCTGGAGTAGTAGAGAAGATGAAAAAAAATAGACCAGGTTACAGCTGGTTGCAGAAAGGAGACACTGTACCTTAAGTGAAAGGTTGTACGGTGAAGAATATGTGTGGAAGATAAGAATCCACTGTATGCATGAAAACAGTCTGAGATAATATCTTTACGTTTTTCAGATACAATATATTGCACGAATATACTAGGCGTAGGTGTGTGGCACAATATTTGCAGTTCTCCATAATCATAACTCATCTGTATCTATTAGCCACATCGACAGACTACAGTCAAACAGCTCAACGCAGTAACAGAAGTCCACAAAGGTCGTTAGCCCTAAAACTGATTTAACTCTTTCTTTAGAAAATCATTAACTAAAAATTAATATTCAGGTCTAAAGGAAGAAGGGGAGGAAAGAGAGAAGGCGAACGCAACCTGCAGCCGGTCTTGATGAAGTCCTTGAGGGAGGCGGCGCGCTGGGTGTTCTTAGCGCGGCAGCCGAAGGCGACGCAGAGGGCCGTGAGGATGGCGCTCTTCCCGCCTGCGCCGCCGCGTCGTAGGAGAAGAGAAGGGCATCATTCGTCAGGAGGCAACGCGATAAATGGGGAGAGGGACGGGGGGTTAGGGTTTGGGAGGCGTACTTCCGTTCTGGCCGATGATGAAATTGACGTGCTGGCCGAGCTCGATGTGGAGGCTGGAGTGGCACATGAAGTTCTCCAGCCGGATGCGGGAGATCGTCCCCGCTGCCATCGCGGGCGACCACCACGCGACGCTTCCTCTCTCACTCTCTCTCCTCGTCGGTAGAAGCTTGAACCCGTTGCGGGGGTTTTGTTGGGGGGCAACGGGTGTTTTTCGCTGGGAAGAAGCCCGCCAAACCAAAAAAAAAAAATGAGCCTTTTGTCTTCGGGACATCCACAAAGTGTGGTTGTGTGCAGGGCACGCTGCCCTCGTCTCTTTGTCAGCTAAACTAGTATGAGAGCGCGCGCCTTCGCGCGCCCGTGTAGCAGTATCAGGGAGCGACTACATATCTTCCGGATAATTTTATTTTAGTCCATCAATCAGATTTATATTCAATCATTACATGACGCCTTTCCTGAAAGCAGAGCAAAATCTGGTAGATAAAGGCAATTGCACCCAGATTTTACAGGAAAATAAAACAATAAAGAGTGAATGAAATTACAACAATCGACAACCGGATCTAATCAAATATGCGACCTCCTCACGTGTAGCAACAATTCCACCATCGACTTTACATGCGCTTGTGAGAGAGAAAATCTTGCAAAAAATAAGTAAATCCTCATTTGAATAAAAGAGATACAAATGAAATGAAAGATAGAATAATCAACATTAATGGAAAATACATTGTTATGGTCACGCTCATGTTCAAGTTGACGTGATGAGCTCCATCTAAATTTGATATTTAAAAAATCATACGATTACAACTTGCAAAAGCTACCATCTTGATAAAACCGAGATGTCAATTACTAAAATTATTTACTTATGTACACAAAGAATTAGAGATCAAAAGTCTTGAAAAACTACCTTGCCGAGATAGCTCCTTCCATTTTTTTCTAAACCTACTCACTTGAATACTTGTTCTAGCCGCTAATCAAGAAAATCGACTTGATGCAATCTGGCGATAGACAGAGAATAGTGAAACCGAGTAGGCAATTTAATAGTAATAAAGCGTAATTTCTCTCGACACAAAAATATTCAAACAACGACACTCAAAAAACATAATAGAGTATTCACTATTGCATGAAAGTGACCTTCACAATTTTAAGCATCCCGATGCACCATCCCAAGCGCATCACAAGATTACTCGACTATTTTACTTCTATTTAGTTCTTGAACGAGTTTTGAAAATTTGAACCAAACTGTAAGTACAAAGCACAAAAAAAAGCGCTAGGCGAGAGGTTCAAACCTCTTAGCTGCAGATTAGTCACAAGCAAAGGAAAAGGAACCAGATGCAACCAAATCAAAGGATTTGACTAATATTGTTGTTCTTCTTACCTAAAAAGGCAGGAAGCGACTAACATGGCTATGAAACCGCTACACCCCAACGTAAAAAAATAAGAATGAACTCAAAACTTATTAGCCGAAACTAATAGCAGACATTTACCTTGCCCGAACTAATAGGAACATTAAGCGTAGCATGAAAGGGATATCAAATGTTTCTCTATAGAGTCAATCTTACAAAAAAAGAATCGGTGTACAACTCTAAGTAAGAATCAACTCTAAGTTGTCGTTATCCTCGTCACTGTTTATTTGTTTTGTTGGTTCCCCTCATCACCTTTTTTTTATTGTGTTGGTTCCCTTTGGTGTGTGTACAAATATACATCTTAGTAGTTAAGATGAGAACCAGGATGAGAAGCAACTTCGCTGGGAAGCCGCTTCAACAAATCTTTTTGAACTTAGCCTAAAAATATTAGACTTTGCTCTAGGCGCAAAGACAAAATTGTGAAGACTCATTTGGATGGGCTAGATAAAAATGTTAGGATGGATGTTTCGTTTGTAAAAAAAAAGAAAAGTTATTTTTCCTATATAGCGCAAAGAACCTTCTTTATTAACGCGTTCTTTGTTGATATAATAAGATTAAGGCTATGAAAAGCAACAATGGGTATGATATACATACGAAAATGTTTGGGCTATGTCTACATGAATTGTGCTACTTGAGCAGAGACCAAAATTGGAAGCCTCGTCAATTTAATATAGCATTCCACTATGGTTAGGTTAAAAAAAAATAGAGCATCATCGAAGATGCTAAATCATTTTGTGAAACACTGGTTGGTGGTTGACCTGAAAGAATTCAAAGGAGAATACGTAGCATATTTTTTAGTGTGATAGGTTGCATGGAAGTCTCTAAATAACCAATTCCAGATTTGAGCGACGATCTAAAATAAAGGAACTAATTAAAAAATAGATGTGAAGCATGTATTTTACCTCCATGAGCTTACACCTTGAGGCCGAGTGATCCAAGCGATCCGTGCAATGATGATTCACTTCTTTAGCATTTGAATAGAATTAGAGTTTTCGTAGTCTTTGATAGGGAAAATGAAAGCACGTTCTCAAGTGATATATTGTGCACTCCACATTGCATAAATCATTAGTTTGTGATAGAGCCTTGAGTCTAAGCATTGGGGTAATAATCATATTAGACTCCAACGGTGATAATATTTTTATCATAACTGGCGATGCAATGCAACTTATCATAACAATCTTATGTGATGACCATAAAGGAAATTACCTATCAATTTGGAAAAATTATGTCGAACAGAGATCCTTTCCAAGCATTACATATAGCTTCTTACGAGTTTACATACATAATAGAAACAAATATGCAGAGGATAATAATCATTCTAGAGTACAGTAACTTTTAGTTGGTAAAAGTCTTCGTATGGATTAATTGCTGAAATTACATTCTCACTAATACCAACATTTAAGAATAAGAAAAATAACAGAGAACTTGCAAATGTCTCTTAACAATCAGATGCCACCAATAATGAAAATTAACTATTGACAAAAATACACCATGAATAATTCTTATTCATATGAATCGATCGAGTTTTATTCTCTCGCATCAAATTCGACTCCCCTAGAAAAGAGGATGGAGATAATGAGGCATGCATCGGGAGAAGCTAGAATAGCTCATCGCAAAAATATGCTGCGTGCCCATCAGATATGTTAACAATGTAACTATTTTTAGCAAACAATAGACATGTTTATGGCAAATAACATAATGAGAGTGAAGGAAAATAAATAGAGGGAAAATATAAAAGTGCAAAAAAATGTCAGCTATTTGTTCTTTTCAAGGCATTATAACATTGAGTATTTCGAATTGGTGCTTTGGATGTATGGAAGTGAGGTTTGACATTATAGATCATGTTGGATGTATGCGGTAATTTTTGCCGAGATAATTTGGAAGAACACTAAAATTGGATGTTTGGAACTATTTATTGGCCCTGGGTCCATTTTTATGTGCTACATTGTTGTATTTGTAAGCTTTCTTTCTATAAATCTTTGAAACAAATAGGGAAAAAGTTCATCAAAACCCATATATCTCTTCTGTAGGGATACTCTTCATCAACCTCAAGTAATCAAAACGAAATTTGAGTAAACAACTTGCAGAAAACAATGCACTTCTTTGAATTTTGAACCTTTTCAAACACCAAACACCAAAAACAATCGAAGGGAAGGTACCAATGTTAATTGGCGGATCCTAAACTAAAGTACATATATTTCATTAAAAGTGTGTCAAGAGTATATTACCAAATGCTAATTGGTAGATCCTAAACTATCTTACCTTTCAAATTAACACACGATATCGTAAGCACCGGTGAATCTTGGAACAACATATAACTCAGTATAGGAAAAAAATAATTTCCAAAGAATATTAGAGATCAATATATCAAATCAAGTTTAGAATGATCTACCGCCAGCTGCCTCCAGATAGACATCTCTCTAGCACCATGAAGCACTACATCATGGAATTTGGCCTTGAGATCTACGGGCATCTTTGAAAAAACACGAGATCTGTCTGATAAGCCTCTTAGATGGTGGGCACTGGAGTGTGTCAATAGGAAACCAAGGATTTGAATCATTCTAAGGAAAAAGGAGACAAGCATAAACAAAATGGAGGATAAAATGGAGGTAATTTTCATAAGGCTTGCAGTTTTTTTAGTTAGAACCAGAGTCCTATATAAACAATTATGCATCGGTGGCTAAAGCGCTAAAGTGATATAGTATAGACCATGTATTGCAATAAAACTAATCTCTATTTATGTCTGGTGTGCCATGTAAGACGGGATACAATTTTTACGACCTTTGAAAGGTACATGTAACAAATCAGATTTAGTAGGACATATTTTCTATATTAAAAAGCAAGTGGATATATTTTACGGTGTATGAGCGTAAAATGGAACTCGGATGCATCTTGAGATGTAAAAAACAAAGAAATGTAGAATTAGTATCCTAGAGTTGTCAATGACCATGGTATTTCATAGTAAATAAATTACCATTATTATTGATAGGTGACTCTAATAAACTATCACAAATGATGATTTCTCTTAATCGTAATTTACACACTCGCAAATCTACACATCTTTAGGGCATCGCTCTACATCTATGTTGTACAACAATCAAGGAGAGCCTTGCTTGACCCATGACATACAACCATTGAATATGCAAACAAAAAACACAATGAGATGATATACAATCAAATTTTCCGTAGAATTAGCCAAGACAAATTCGGTCTTACCTCCAACCCGACCAATAAGCACTTGCCTCTCTAATCGATGGATCTACAGGCTTTGAACGCCAATGTTCTTTGGTCCTTTTCAAACCGATTAATTAATTTCTTCAAAAATGTATACCGGAGGAAATACATGTTTGTGACAATGGGTAGAGGGCAAAATGAAGGAGAAAAAGTTTCAGTGCAAAGCGAGAGGTTGTGCAATGCACATGGAAGCAAGCGACCAGATTAAACCTTGGCAAGCTTGGCTAGTTGATGTGACTGGTATAAAACAATGAAAGTAAGAGTAAGACAAAGTGAGCATTATGTCTTAGATCTCTTTTCATTCGGGAAAATAACATCTTTCGCCCCTAAGTCGCAAGTTCGGTTGTTAGGTGATAAAAGAAGTAGGAAATAATTATTTAGTGCGAGTTATCGTATAAGACCCATAGTTGTTGGCAAAAAAAATTTGAGGTCAAGCTGCAGTTATCATAGATCCATCACTACGATCTTACTGAGA